CAAGGGCTCCCATTTCATATGTACTACTATAAATACTTCCTTGTGTGATATCAAAAGACTAATGCAAGAATCAATACAAAGAACTACATTTTACTCAACTCTCTCATTTTACTTGCAATACACAAATCGAGTATATACATATTTACACATACATTTATGAACACCGGTTGGTAATTATTGTACAATCGGATTACGAACAACACGCCGGATTCCGAACGTCATTGTCCCGCGTCGTTGGGCTACTCCCGCGCCCTTTGTACCGCTCATTTTAGACCGTCCATGTGTCTTTGCGTGTTAGACATTCGTCCACGCAAGCGCGGGTGGGACCGACATCTGTTGGAGCACTGTTTGGGGTCAACAAAAAAAATTGAGGTTAATCGATCGATTCTCAATATTAACCAGCCAGTTCTTGGCTTGCTCAGCGGTTTAGAAGTCTTTGATTGTTTTATTTAAAGCTCAGTTAGCTTTCGATAATACCATAGAAACCGAACACTAATCCAATTTTATTAACATAGCTTAAGTTGAAATTTCAAACACGTGAAATTTTAGGAATGCAAACTTAATCTTCATAAAGTTATGCACGCGATACTAACATGAAAATTTGTGCAAATATATTGAACAGTTGGGGATTAATTGGCTAAAGATGCTATTGGTATATCAATTATTCACAGTTTTTTTCATAGCGCGCGCACACACATGCAAGTGTGTGGACCTTCATGAGACAACTGTGAAAAAGCTGTCAAACAAATACTGTACAAACAGTAATTTTCTTAATTGGCTCCTTTGTCAATATTTGGAGATCGACTTGGTAATTATGCCCTTGTTCGAATCACATTCTTCTAAAAATTCATTTTTTTTTTCAAAATTCATTTTTAACCATACATTCTTCAATAAAATAATATTACACACAAATTCAAAAATTTTCCTTAATTTTTAACCATACATTTTTCATTAATTTACTATTCAAAATGCATTCTTTCCTCCCAAGATGGGGCTCAAACATGTGTGTGTGTGTGTGTGTGTGTGTGTGTGAGCTATATTATTTTGAAAGAATATATTTTGGAATAATAGATTGATGGAAAAAGTGTAGCTAAAAAAAAAGATAAAAATTTTTAGATTTATGTGTAATATTATTTTACTAAAAAAAATGTGTGATTGAAATAATTTCAAATTATTGTTTAAAAATATTTTTTTTGAAAGAACGTGGCTCAAATACTTTTGCTTATAATTTCTAGAAAGTATAATTTCCTGCCACACTCTCTTCTCTGGCTATCTACTCTCTCTATAGCGATATGCATATGTGTGTGGGGAATTTAAATAAATGTCACTAAAATTGAAAATGCACAAAAAAATTTCATTTGCACCAATTTCTTCCAAAAATGTCATTTTTTTTTTGCGAAATGTCCATTTTATCCCTTGTAATACATTTTTAGGAGCAATAAATGCTTGATTTGAATTCAATTAATGGTATGATGTAATGATTTGTTTTATTTATTTTAAACATTTAAGATATTCATATTATATTGTATAATATTTTTTATTGTTAAAAAAAAGGGGGTGAAAACTTGAAAAAAAAAAAAAAAAAAAAACACACGAACACCTATGAATACAAACCCTATCTTCTTCTTCACCATCTTCATTCCATCATCAGCAAGTAAAAGCTAATGATCAATCTCAAAAGTGAACTAATAGAAAAATTATCTTTTCATGTCAAAGTTTACTACTTTAAATGTTTAATACAACAAAGTCATAATTAATTGAACCTTTTTAATCTCTTATTCATTGATGTATTTTATTTTTGATATATCTTTTAAAGGAAAAAATATCAACATCCTCTAGAAAATGCGAATAATTCCATATTTAATAAAACACTGAGTTATTTCTTCTTTATTTGTGAGAAGATTTTGTGATGTTGTAGTTGAGAATTGATCTTCATCATTAATGTTTTCTATAATTTCTTCTAAACAATGAAACACATGTTTTTAAGCTTTTCCTAAAATTATAGCAATTTGACTGTCGACCAGTATCTTCGAAACCGTCGGGTTAGACGTTTTAACTGTCGAATAGGACATTTAGTAATTATCGGGATAGACAATTTAATTGTCGATTTCGACACCTGAAAGCTGTTGTCACTCTTTCTCTTTTTGATACTACATGGATCTACATGTCGACATATGGAATGTACAGAACATGTCAAAAAATTTAAATTGCTGATTCTTTGAAAACATATAAAAGGCCTTCCAACTCTATGTTTATTCAAAATAATTCAACCTACTGCTTCAAAACCTTCTACCACAATCCGCTCAAAATAATAATTTTAATCCCCACCAACTAAATTGTAGTTTGTAAATTGTAAATAGTAGACTCAAGTGACGCATAAATGATAAACATCGGTAATATTAAATAGTATTGCCACGGAGAACAAAAGGAAGATAACAAATACCAAAATTGGATTGAAATACTTTTAACATTTTCACGGTTGGAGTGGTTATTGAACTTTTAGAAAAAAAGTCAGCAAAATAATCTCTTTTTCGTTATCGTTATTGCTTCTCATGCTTATAAATCGACTATTTGACTAAAGCGTACATACCTGTCGTAACATCTCAACTTACGATGTTCCCCAACACATTATCAACTTATATTATTATTTTCACCTTACATTGTCATAATCACAATCCATTATCGTTCACAGATAGGCAAACACATGTTCAACTTCACAAGCAAAATATGTAGCCATAGACAACATACTGCATTACAATTTGACAGTTCATCTGTCGTTCCCAACATATTGTTCTATCATTCTTGACACTTGGACCGGAGTACAAAAAATATACTGCACCGGAAAAGGCATAAAGGACATGCTCGTGCTGATTTTTTGGTAAAAACGTTACCAAATTCATTATAAAACAAATTATAGTGTACATAATCATTCATTATTTTCAAAATCCATGCATTTGCTATGCACTAACCCTGCACTGTTGATCTTAGTTATCGCATTACAACATTCAAACTAAGAAATAGCAGACCAACTTCTAGCACATGGATAATATTGGCAACATCTTTGGCGTATGCAAAGGTACAATTTTTTCAACTACCATCCAACAGCAAGACGTTTAATAATGGACTTCGGCCAAAAGGTTGAATGACAGTATCCCACTTTCCAAGAAACAACCGAACAAATATAGGCCCGTAGTCCTGACGCAGCACACTTTGTAACGATTCATTTTCTCCCTCGACAGTGCAATGTCATGCTTCAGGCTACCATTCCCTGTATACATGGCATGCCGACACGCATCATCGGAAGGAGCTCACGTTCCTGCAACGATTGTTTCACATTATGCCATAAATTAGCCCCAACAAGATAGAAATACAAAGTCAATGAATAAAATGCATACACCATGTATTACAAAATTTGCAAGGACATTTTAGCACTTTTTCCCCTAATGTACACAAGTGTTTCTCGGAATCGGTCACAAATCCTCCATAGCCACATACATTTCATGCAGTGTTTCATTCACTAGGTTGTAATAGAGCTCTACATTATCAACATGTGACTCTTAAATCATATATTTGAATGCCAACTATTGGATGAGCTGGGTAGAGTACTGTATGTCAATACCTCAGCCAGGAAGTCGAGGCAGGAGTTTCGGAAGTCCTCACACTGTTGGCTGTCGAAGGTCTTTATGACCGTCTTCACATACTTCAAGTTTCTTCGTTGAGAAATGTGAGCCACAACCTGGCATTTTCCGAAGCGAGAAATTCAAACTCCATTTCTCCTACAAGGTACAGCGAGAAAAACACTAATTAGATCACGATGAAATATAGAAATGTAACACATAATGTATCAAACTCATGCCTGTAGTATGGTGAACTGTCAAGAAAAACTGACATCAACATTCGATATGGACAGTTCATCTATCAATACTGACTGTTAATCTCGACATATGCTTGAGGTTCTATCATCTGTCGAGATTGGCAGAGTTGAACTGTCGGGAACGACAGTTCAAGCAGCCTGCATAGTTCAACAATCTGTTATACTTCTTCAGGACCCTACATTCAAATATAATCACTTCCTTCACAATGAAGCTATTTGTTATCATTCCTAGGGTGCATAGAATCAATTGAAGCATAGCTCCATAAAATAAAATAAAAAACTGTACTATTTAATAAATAAATAAAAGATTTGATGACTTCTTTATGCTAGCTATTTTCAAGTTTCTACTCGCTCTAATATTACATAGAAAGAAGAGCATAATAACACATCCAAGTGAAGCCTTGACTACTTACAATTATATATTTATCATATTTCCATTTTGCCACATTAGTTTTGCCGTTTGAAATTAAAGAAAACAAATATAAGCAACCTTATCTTTTAGACGCTACAATTAACCAAAGATTGATTCAAATCCAGCAAAAGAAGCTAATAAAATTCACAAAATTAACATTCTAGAACTCCCCATAGCTTACCAAACATTGAACGGTCTCGGTGGCTAAAATAAGGTTGTCATGATTTAAAAAAAAAAAAAAAAACACTAAGAAGCATCAGCACCACCATGCCGCTAACCACCGCCAGAAGCGACTTTTGCAATATTCTTCTTCTTCTTCTTATATATAGGCATTTCTGAGTTTGAGCTTCAAATCCTTTAATCGTCCAAAGAGATGTATTTAAGTGATGAGAGAAAGATGAAAAAGCAATAATACGAATGGTATATATATATATTAAATAGTGAGGTGAGCATTGGATGTGATGTTTTAAAATTTTTTGTACTATTTTTCCATCTTATCAATTCAATTTTTAATGAAGATCATGTAGGGTATTTGAATTATTTAGATGAGCAATAATATCCAAAATTTTTCAAAATTAACAATCTTGCAAAAACATAAAAAGAAAAAAAAAAGTGATATTTTTGTAAAATTAAAGTCAAAAATTGACTATTTTGGTAATTTTCCACTATATTTATTTATTTGGTTTTTATTTAAATTTTCCTGGTTTTGTACATTTACGTGAATGCGCGTTTATTAGATTTTAGGAGCTTCGATGGGTCCGTTTACATTAGCTGTTGATGTAAAGAGCTCTTCTTCAGTCCCTTCAGGTAATCAAATTTCTTGAATTTATCATATTTATAGGCGCAATATCCAAAATCAAATAGACCAGATATTTTTTTTATTTTTTATTTTTGGTAAATTATCTATCTGTTGAAATTGTTGTTAGTTGGGATTAGCTGAGAATGCTGAAATGAATTTTTATGAATTACCCAAAAGAAGCTTATTCATTTAAAATTTTTTATTTTAAATGTAATACCAATGCCTGTGTGATTGACTCCGAGTTTTAAGTTTCTCTAATGTTATAAATTTTGATGAATTGTGTTAATTTTAAATCAAAACAAAATTGAGTTATTGTGTGTGCAAATATGTTGGTATGCATGTATAGCTAGCTATGCGTGTGTGAAGAAGATAGGGCACTAGGCTGCCATATGGATTTTATTCCCTTGCGGATGGTTTTAATTTTTTAGCAATTGAACGTTTAGTTGAAGAATGTTTAGTGCACGACAGAGTTACTTCTTACTATTTTTTGAGATTTAATGTGGAATAGGTAGATTTTTCTTTCTTCTTGTTTAGGCAGGTGATTTGGTTTTGCAGATACATCTAAGCAGAAAATCCATAACCTTCAATTGGCACCGAAGAAGTTTTTTGCCGCAGTCAGTGCTGGAGATGAGAAACCATTTGATTTTTTCCGTACATTTTTTGGTATACACAAATCCAATACTGAGTACTTGCTATTATTATTTCTGAAACTGTATGTGATACACAACGTTGTGAATGTAATAGAGCAAGCAAGATCTTTTGTGTTGCAGCACCTCATAAATCTTCATGATTAAGCATAATTCTATTCAACAATAGTTATTCTGACATTTTAGTCAAGCACCCCCTCACCCTCTCATAGTGGGTGTAACCCCTAACTTTGATTTAACAATTCATATTCTGCAATGTGAAGAAGTAATCTGGCATTTGAATCTTTCGAGCTTTTAATTCTAAAGTAACATTGCAGAGGGTGTAATAGCAGGCGGCACAGCTGGAGTTGTTGTTGAAACAGTCTTATATCCAATTGATACAATAAAAACCCGGCTGCAGGTAGGTCCGTTTCGCTCATATGTTAACTAGACATTCAAAATGATTTGTTTTGATCCATGTTCTCATCTTACCTGATAAAAAATAGATTCAGGTCAGATGAGAATTTCCAAACTGTTAACTACTAGTCATAGCTGAAAGAATATTAGCTTCGCTATGAATAAACATGATGTCCAATCAATAGCATCTTTAGATTGCAACCATTAGTTGCTTTTGTAGACACTCACTCCATCCTATAATTTGAGAAACCACCGTTTATTTATAATGTTATGACCGGACTTGCTTTTATTTCATATTTTATGCGATATAAAAAGTTTGAATTTTGACAAAAAATTCTTTCTTTGGTACATTGAAAGTGGAGAGGGGTTACATAATTGGCATCTCTATTGAGCCTTGATTTTCCTTTGTTCTCCATTTTCTTTCCTTTAAGAGATACTATGTTAATTTGAAAATCATCATTGGGGGCATGTCCTTGCTTTAAGATTAAGTTTGTGATTGTGTTTGTCCTGTACTTCATTTATAAGCTTGTCAGTCTTTTCTTCTTTTACTTTCTCCCTATTGAACATTGCTTATAAATAATAGCTTTTGGAGGACATTTAACACTGCAGATAATAAATGTCTGAAAGCTCGCATGATTAGGGAACATGTTATGTATTGATGTAAACTGAATGTTATTTCTAGTTACAGAATGACTAAATGTTTAAAAAAATGTAAAAAAATTTCCCCCTTCCTAGCAAACTCTCCCCCGTAAACAGAAATGGTGATGAAGGAAACATGATATATGCAGAATTCAATTAAGTATATTGCTTTTGTCAGCATGCTTAAGCCTATAACTTAATTCAAATCAATTAGTTCTTTCGCAGGCAGCTCAAGGTGGAGGAAAAATAGTTCTTAAAGGGCTGTATTCTGGGCTTGCTGGAAATATTGCTGGAGTCTTACCGTAAGTACATAATAAACTGGTTTTCTTGTAGAGCTATCATTTGCTCCATAGTCAAATATTTAGCCGCCATTTTTCAAACTTCACAAATTGCTGCCGAGGGCCTATGTACCCATCATGTGGTTGTCATTAGAAACTGCATGTCATGACTCTGATTTTTCCCTTCTCAAACATGTATATCATTCATAAAACTTTTTTCCTCTTTGTTTATCTGGAATTTAGTCTGAAGAGTAAATAAAATACATAACTGTTTCTTAAATTCAATATATAATGGTTGGTAGGTTGGTTATTAATTTCTCTAATGACAGGGCCTCCGGCATTTTTGTTGGTGTTTATGAACCCACAAAGCAGAAATTGTTGAAGACTTTTCCTGATAAATTGAGTGCTGTGGCTCATCTGGTGAGATTTTCTTCTCACTAACAAACTAGTGTAATTATTTAGTAGATCTTTTAACATTGCATTTGTTTGTTAATTAGTTCGTCATACTTTTCAAAGCCATTTCAGATTGATCCCATCTCCCTCCCCGCTTCCTCTGGAAAACCCATGAAGCATGGACAATTCTGCTCGGGTAGTGTGGACACTTGAGGATATGTGTTCAACAAGCCCCATTCTGTGTTGGATCTTGATATATTTTCTTAATTTCTGATGCTCGGGGAATACTTCAGGGACAATTCTTGGGCAAACGTCTCGCATGCTAAATGCTGTGTCTTATAATAAAAAGTATAAAAATAAAGATATGATCTATAATAGAAAATTTATAAAATATAAATCCGACGTGTCGTGTCATGATTTTTTTGAAAGTCAAATGTCGGTGCTTCTGTTTCCGAGTCCAAGTCCAAGTCCGAGTCATTGCTTCTTAATAGAAAACAAATGTAGATAGAACGATGGACTTAAGGATAAGATCCCTGTTGATTCCCGAAAATTGTTGTCCTTGGGGTTCGGAAATCTTCTATATTTTGCTTCCTAAGCTAGGTATTGTGAATTGTCCCTTCACTCCATCCTCCTGCAGAATATTAGTTTTGGGACTGAGATTTCTTTGATGGATCACATGTACGTCATCCAACAACAAAATTGTGAAACAGCTGATAGGATGTCCATCTATCTCCTACATATAAGTAAAGACTAAAGTAGAAAGTGCATGTTGATTATCGCTATCCTTTATGATAGGTTTGCCTCTCTAAGTAGGACGGAATATCTACGTGACAGGTTATAGACTCTGATATATCATACATAACAATAGCTGGTTGTTGGACTGTAAGTCTATGTTAAGATGTTTTATAGTTATATCATTGTATTAGTATGATAAGTTAATGTCAACTGAGCAGAGTCCAGAGAATTCATTAAATAATATACAATATAGTGAAATAATCCATGGAAACCTAGCTGTGATATTCTGCATTTACAGTCGTATGTATCATAGTTTTTATTAGAAGGCATGCAAGATACATCCAATAGTATGGAGACCATCAGTATAAATTCTGAAGGAGTTTCTTTCCAAGATATGTTTATCTGACTCAAAATTCACACATCTTTCAGAAATTTTCGGCCGTGTTGGTATCTAATTTGTCCACTTCTTTTCTTTATTTATTTCAACCAACTAGAATGTTTTAAATCCCATTATTTGGTGCCGAACTTCAATGTAACATGAGACAAAACATGAACGGAAATGGAAAGGAAGATGTGATGAAGCAACACTGGAAAACAAAACTTGTCCTACCATAATGTTGAGCACTCAAAATGAATCAATGGAGAACGAGAAATGTTAAATTGTATTCCTATATGATTTATCTTGCATGGAACTGGTAATCATGTGAGTTTTTGGACAGGAAAACATATATTTAGCCTTTTTAGGATTGTTTGAACTCTAGGGTTTTTGTTTTTCAAATGGCTTATGACGACATATTTTTGGAAATTAGAAGTTTCTCTTTTCCTGCTTAATTATCCATTTCTGGGGAATAACATTTCTTTCCTTTTCATTATCAAGGAATGGTAGCTTTTTTAGCTGGTTCTATTTTGTAAAGGTCAATCAAGAAGGTAAAATGGGGTGGCTGACATCAATTAAGAACATTCGCTTCCTCCCCTCTGCTTTCATCTTTTGAAAATATAGCTTTTTGTTATAAAGATCAACTAAAATTGGTAAGGTAGCAAACTGCAAATAAGAGCTTTGCCTCTGTAACAAACTAAAAATATTTGACCTGTTTCAAATATATAATCAATTTTAAGTAAAATTTGAGCTCATTAAACATATATTACTTAAACAAATGTTAGCAGTGTGCATATAAATGCATCACTACCTAGAAGAAGAGAAGTTCCAAGCCCTCTCATGATCTTTTGTTTCCGGTTCTTCTCCAGCTGTAATTGTTATTTCTGTCTTGCTCTAGCCATAGATTTTAGGCTCATATAATCCACAACTGTGATTCCCCTTTTTGCTTCAATTTCAACAACGTCCCGTCGGAGTTCAAGTCAGATATAAAATTTAAAATGAATTTGGGCTATGAGCAGTGGAAACCACTGCATGTATTCGGCTATTTACCGTACTCTTGTGCTGCTTACTTTTCATTTCTTCTTTGGTAGGTGCTGTAACTGGAGCTCTCACGACACCCCTAGATGTGATTAAGACTAGATTAATGATTCAGGTATGGCGAATTCGACTCATCTCTTCCATCTCTTGGTCTTTTTTGTACTGTCTCTCTTTGTGAAGGAATCGATACACAATAGATGCATTTAGCCTTCATATATAAGCTGGCTGGCATAATTATTACCTCAAGTATCTATGCAGGGATCAACCAACCAATATAAAGGTATCTTTGATTGTGTCCAGACTGTCGTCAGAGAAGAAGGGCCTCGGGCTCTCTTAAAGGTAGGAGTTACTCTTGTTTCTTCATAAATAAACAGTTTGGTAGAAGAATTTTTTCTTTTGGTCCGTCCCTTTCCACCTGTTAGCGACATCTATTTATGCATTCCTTTCCATGGAATATGAAGCAAAATTTTTGTTCTTGTTTCCTACTCTTTCTACGTTGTTGGGATTTGGGAGCCATGCAAGAAGGCATTGCCAGACTGAGGAGGTATAAATAGTATCAAACTGTGATCACAAATCTTCAAATGCCAGAGAAATAGTTATATCTGGTCTAGAAGTGTAGGAGTGGGTGGCACGACACTGTCCAGCCCAGCTCATGTTGTGTTGGGACTAAAAGTTTTGGTCCATGGCCGGCATAGACCTATATTTGGGATAAAAATAGAATGACATTGCACTCCCTGCTAAAGGTTTTTGGTTAGCATACTTGTAGCAATATGTGGTTCACAAGGAAATCCTTTTTTCTTATTTCAGTAGCTCTATCTTGATAACCGATAATTTATGAATATCAAAATTCACTGTTTTACTGTAGGGCATTGGACCGAGAGTTTTGTGGATAGGCATTGGTGGTTCGGTATTCTTTGGCGTCCTAGAAAGCACAAAGAGATTCCTAGCGGAGAGGCGCCCTAATAGTCATCCGGAATCTAACTCAAAGCAGGAATAGATACTTCTAAATATTCCTAGGGGCTTGTTTGAACTCTAGGGTTTTTGTTTTTCAAATGGCTTATGACGACATATTTTTGGAAATTAGAAGTTTCTCTTTTCCTGCTTAGTTATCCATTTCTGGGGAATAACATTTCTTTCCTTTTCATTATCAAGGAATGGTAGCTTTTTTAGCTGGTTCTATTTTGTAAAGGTCAATCAAGAAGGTAAAATGGGGTGGCTGACATCAATTAAGAACATTCGCTTCCTCCCGTCTGCTTTCATCTTTTGAAAATATAGCTTTTTGTTATAAAGATCAACTAAAATTGGTAAGGTAGCAAACTGCAAATAAGAGCTTTGCCTCTGTAACAAACTAAAAATATTTGACCTGTTTCAAATATATAATCAATTTTAAGTAAAATTTGAGCTCATTAAACATATATTACTTAAACAAATGTTAGCAGTGTGCATATAAATGCATCACTACCTAGAAGAAGAGAAGTTCCAAGCCCTCTCATGATCTTTTGTTTCCGGTTCTTCTCCAGCTGTAATTGTTATTTCTGTCTTGCTCTAGCCATAGATTTTAGGCTCATATAATCCACAACTGTGATTCCCCTTTTTGCTTCAATTTCAACAACGTCCCGTCGGAGTTCAAGTCAGATATAAAATTTAAAATGAATTTGGGCTATGAGCAGTGGAAACCACTGCATGTATTCGGCTATTTACCGTACTCTTGTGCTGCTTACTTTTCATTTCTTCTTTGGTAGGTGCTGTAACTGGAGCTCTCACGACACCCCTAGATGTGATTAAGACTAGATTAATGATTCAGGTATGGCGAATTTGACTCATCTCTTCCATCTCTTGGTCTTTTTTGTACTGTCTCTCTTTGTGAAGGAATCGATACCGATTATACGAGTAGTGGGTTTCAACTCAAATCCTCAACGTTCCAGGCTGTCCTGAATTTGGTATTTGGATGTTTCAGTTAAACTTACATCCCACGAATTATTTCATTCTAAATATTCTTTTCGTAAGATAACTCAATATGAAGGGAAAAGAGTGTTTCACGGGTTAGAATTAGAAAAAAGAGATATATAGTCCATTCAATTTCACATAAGCATGACACGAAGAGAATAAAATGATAGCAAATGTTTTGGGCGTATGTTTCATTGTCAAAACTTATTATAACTCTGAGTAATCATTATGTTAGAAAAATAACTCAAATGACTTGTAATGGCAAACATGGAATCATAACTTGTGACTTTGATGCATAATCATGGCCCCTTTGACGCTTCTAATTTTTTTCAGAAGAGCGTTTTGAAGAAATTATTTTAGATCAACTTTCTTTAAAAAATTCTTTGATCAAACAAAATACTTCTAGAAATTATTCAAATATGTTTAAAAATAATTTTTGACTTAACTTTTAATTTTTCAAAAGCTCCGTCAGACGAGCCCTCAGTCTCTTTACTTGGGTCCCGCATAGAATTTTCATGACAATCTTGCTATGTAGTTAGAGTCAATGACAGAAAAGCATTTTCAAACTACATTTGGCAGTTTTTCATTGGAGAACGGGAAAAAAATCATAAAAACAATTAATCATAGGCTGTCACATCATTCTTTTTTTCCCCTGTTTCTTTTCCTATTTGTTTAGCATTATTCTTTCTATGATCCTCCTAATTATGCCTTAAACCAAAAATTTAATGAGTTCTGATTTTGTTAATAATCCAATCATTTGCTAGCATTTTCAATTGTAGGGTGTTAATTATTTGTAACATTATAAAAGAAAGTGTAAGAGAAACCTCTGTTTAAAAGCGTTAATTCTAAAACGTGTCCGAAATAATGGATTGTCAATAGTGTGTGAGCCAGGGTGAAAATTGATTGCTAGATTTGTCCGGATGGGAGTCTACCTAAGCAGTGACATAATGCTCACCTAAGCGTCTCCGTATATGTAATTATAAGTTCCCGCAAATAATTCATGCGCAAGTTTAGGAATTTTTTATAATAAGTAGACATAAATAAAAAAGTATAAACGCATAATATTTATAAATTTAAAAAAATATGTGAATAAAAATAGGATACCACTATTTACATTCACATTCATGTGTGTCTAAATTTTTAATTTTATGTAACATCCACATTCAGCCAGATCCAAGAGATAATTATATTACATTTTTAATCTTATGTAAATTTACCTAAATAGATATATATAAAATTAAATAAAAATATATCGTTTTGCCCATGTTTTCTTCTATTTATTTCATTTTTGTTCTAAACAAGGGCAACATGATCTTTTAATACAAAGTTTGAATTTTAACGATCAAATTAATACTTTTCGTTACTCAAGAATCTAATCTCATAGGGTGGAGAGTCAGAATCTTACTTCAAAATGTTGGAGAACCATTTTCGCACTACTTGAAAGGTTGGATAGTCCAATCCTAATATTTTCAAACATGAAAGAGTCTCAATTGACCGATTATACGAGTAGTGGGTTTCAACTCAAGTCCTCAATGTTCCAGGCTGTCCTGAATTTGGTATTTGGATGTTTCGGTTAAACTTACATCCCACGAATTATTTCATTCTAAATATTCTTTTCGTAAGATAACTCAATATGAAGGGAAAAGAGTGTTTCACGGGTTAGAATTAGAAAAAAGAGATATATAGTCCATTCAATTTCACATAAGCATGACACGAAGAGAATAAAATGATAGCAAATGTTTTGGGCGTATGTTTCATTGTCAAAACTTATTATAACTCTGATTAATCATTATGTTTTTTATTTATAGTTCTTTCATGACATAAAAAATGGAATCTTTTTTTTTTTTTTTTAAGTATTGATTTGACAGATAAATGTATACGAAAAATTTCGAAATAAGCTTTGACACATGTCTAAATATTCTTAAATTACAAAAAAATAAATTAAAATTAAAATTACCAACCAAAACACAAAAATAAAATTTCTTAGCTTATATATCCAAAATAATAATAATTAATATATAATTTGAGGAGGGGGATTTGTTCAGTTGAGTGAGCCGTGTACTCTTGAGAAAATCGTATAAATCAATTAAAAAGATTCGCTAACCTTTATAACTAAATATTAAAGTATCGACATGACAATATAGGAAAAAAAGTAAGAACCAATTTAAATGTTGATAGTGATGGGATGAATATATTGATTTTTTAAAAATTTTGAAACTATATTATGGATGTATTTATAGTGTGATGTATATATAAAACTTGTATGGATGCATAATGTTCAAATAAATGCATTTAATAAGGACAATATTAAAATTTGATGTGAATAAAAATAGTAATTTTTTAAAATCTTAATAGAGATGTATATGGAGTATGATGAATATATAAAAACTATGAATATAAATAACGGCACTCTAAATATATATTAAATTATTCTACTTGTACAGATAATTGTACAAGTAAAATTACAGACGTGCCAAACTATTGTAAATGTAGCAGTCCTCAATATGGTTGATGAAAAATATTATAAATTACACACTTGTCAAACAGTTAAAATTAAAAGTAATACATTTGGTACTCTTAGGCCATTTTCAATGATGGCACCAAAACACCAAATTGCATCAAGTAATGGTACAAAATTACTCCAATACAATATCAAACTTTACACTATTTTAATGTAAAATGGTGCAAAGTCATTTTTACCATTTATTTTCATTTCCCAAATAATTTGATTAAGGGTATTTGTGTCATTTGTGTTATATATTTTTTTAATACAATGAATTATTATTATTATTATTATTATTATTATTATTATTATTATTATTATTTGCATTTAAAATAAATTTTAAATGTGAAAAATATTAATTAATGAATTAAATAAATATATGAATATGAAAAAAAAATTAAAATATAATAAACACAATTATTTAAAGTTCACATGAAATATATTAAACAACGACATATATATATTAATCTAATTTTATTTTAAAAAATGATAGACAAATCAAGGATAAAGAAGCTCACATTACACTTCGAAATGCATTAATCGATCATTTGTGAGAAAAATATACGAATTTCGAGAATTAAATTACAATGATATCTCGACTTCGTAATATCAAAATTTGAAATGGATTGCAATATTTTTTAATGGCATGATTTAATATTTTCATTTTTTTAGTGTTTTTACTAATTGTACTATTTTTTTTATATTTATTAATGAATTTAATCTTTTCCTTAATTTAACATAATTATTTATTTAGTAATTTATGATAAATAAAATAATATTTCTAATAAATAAATTACTAAGAAGAAAAAATAGAAGAAAAATGGTTAAACATTGTTCATTTGATGTAATGGTTGGAAATGAATTTTAGTTCAAAAATGCTATTTGTACATCATTTTTTTATATCAATTTTCACACTCCCTCACAAAGGAGGGATCCACAATTAAAAAAATCGTGGACCCCACCCACTTGCGTGTGTGTGCTATAAAAAAAGGTGTGGAAAAAAATGTACGTGTAGAATGGTTGATTTTAGTTTGGTACAAAATAGTGCAAATATTGGCGTAGGGCTAGAGATGGCATTAATACCCATTTGGCCCCTATTTTGTAAAAAATAATGTTTATCTTAAATTCATTTTTAACCACTCATTTCATGTAACCAACAATTTTTATCAACTCTTTAACCACACATTTTATCAATTTTTATCAAAATCATTTAAAAATCTAATTTATTTATTTTTATTTAAATCAAACTGGGGCTAATCCGCACGAAATTTTTTACATTTTGCTTCTGTCAATATTGAAATGTTCAATCTAAGTATAAGAATTGAGAATACATCTTAAAATGTAAACATAATAAGTGGAGTAGACTAATCCCTCGCGAGATCTTTATCTACTTCAAATTTAATCGAAGCAAGTACACTCCCAACACCAAGATGTATGATATTATATTAAGAGTTATTCCGCTTGTAATAACTACCAAAATTTATATAGACGCTTGTTGGTAGCACTTGTATGGTTGCCTTTTTCATTTTTTTTTCTTTTTGCCCAGCCTCAGTGATAAAATGCCACATCACCTTGTAAATTTCTCGACAATGTTTTATCTATATACCAGGCAAGGTTTTTACATAAAAGATATTATTAGCTTATCGTAATAAGGTTTGATTATTACCAATAACACAAAATTGATGGAGAAATATAGCACTTGTTTGAGCTCCGTTCTTTTGAAAAAATTCATTTTTCAACAGTGTTTTGACATCATTTCATCCACACATTCTTTAATAAAATAATATTACACGTAAATTCAAAATTTTTGTTTATTTTTTAACCACACATTTTTTATTAATACACTATTTAAAAATTCATTCTTTCCAAAAAAAGGGGCTCAAACAAGGGCATAAATGCAATGACGGGGGAAAGCCCAAAATTAAAAAAAAAAAAAATCATTATTAAAAAATGAAATTACTTTTTTGTCATGGCTAGTGTCATGCAATCAATATCATGGGGCCCATAATTTTTTGCTAAATGAAGTTAGCATAGATTAATGTGTACAATTGAAGAGATCATAACAATATTATTTTGTAGGTTTTGTATTGGAAGTCGAGAGATAGATAGGTACAAGTGGAGAGTGAGAAAATAATCTAATTAATTAAGCAAAAGTAGAATGGAAAGTTAAGTAGCTTTTTTCTTGGCAATAAGTCAAATAGGCCCATCAATCATAATGATATCTTCACCGCCGAATACAAATATGTAGATTTGCAAACAAGATTTCATCATCATCGTTCTAGATTTCTTCATTTTTTGGGGCAAAAGAAAAACTAAAAATTTGTCACAAGATAATTGTATATTCATCGTGTTTGATACTTCGATACATATTAATTTCATCCAATGATAATTTTTTTTAGGTTTATGCTCTACTTCGAATAAAGATCCGTCCGATTTTGACCCTTTTTATAGGTAGAACTACTAATAAACGGTTTAAACTTGATCTTTATTCATTCCTTCATATGTTGTGCTCTTTAGCACCTCTAGCAGACCTCAAATAATTCAATCTCCTTCAACGGATCTAGGTTCGAGTGTTCTTTCTAAAAATTACAATTTCTACTTTTGTTTATCAATACTGTCAAAAAAATATAAAATACATATGAACGTGCATACACATATTATATCAACTCTATCCAATTGAATAAAGGGTCAAATGATATCATCCTACAACGGGATTGACAAACAATGAAAGGCATCACGAAATGAAAAACTATTTGTGATTATATTAAAATAAATATTTTTTGAAAGAAAAAATGTAGTTTTTTTTCATCATGATCTATGCTTTAAGGGCATCCTAAAATTCTACCAATGAAGATCCATGAAAGATTACAATTGAGTGCAGATTTTGGTTTATGCAAATTCAACTCACATCACAAATTTATTAAGGTAAAAAACAAAAATCTTTGAGAGTCTCCTACTGTTCATGAGTATTTTTGACCTCATAAGCCATGGATATATTCCATGTTTTTTGAGGTTAAATGGGGCCACATAGTACATTACAAAATTGTTAATTAATCTTAAATAAAGTCCATAGTACATTACTGTTATACAAATATAGAATAATATATATATTTTTTATTACAATAAGAATATAAACAAAACAAAGAATGAAAAACTCTAGAAATATATGAATCATTGAAAATAATATAAATCTGCAAATCGAGTCCTGTGTATACACGATTTCCTTAAAATAGAGTTGCACCTCACCATAAGTGCCTTGAGGTTAGTCTGAACGTCTGTCTTTCAAAATATTACGAAAGAACTGATAGAATCCAAGCACTTCAATTTCTATTATGACAAAATAAATTTGTGTTAGAACAGCCCACCAAGACTTAGATGGAAATGAAAATTTTCTTAAAACTGAAATTGAAAATATGTCGAAGAATAAATCGAAAATTATGCAGAAGAGTATTGTAATTTTTTCCAATGTTGAACGTTGGAAAACAAGCTCAATTATGAACTTGGCCCCTATGAATAGTGAGTAAATTTGTTCATTAACTCAATATTATAATGACAATAACTATTGGAGTTTCAACAGTTTCAAAATCTAAAAAGTTGGAGAAAGTGTTGGTACGTTCGGTTCGACATTCGTATACGTACACAAGTTTAAGGCTCGATGTACAATTTTGGTCCTTTATTTGCGTTTTCTGCATACACGCATGGAGAGAGCCTCTATGATCACATCATTCTAAAGTGTAACAATATATAAAGTGGTTATTACTTTCATCAACTTCCTATGTGGGATAAATTTAAATATAATTTCCCCTCCAACATAAACTTTTCTCAAAATGGTCTACATTGAACTCCAATTTCTCATTTAGGTGTTTATTATTTTTGGCAGGTAAACATATTATTTTGATGTTCTTACGGAGGAGAACACCGATAAACTCTTATATTTCAAATTGAACCAACGAGTCCCATCTAAAATTGTGCCAAAAGTAAGATTAACGAAGCAATTTTTCTACCACATCACAATACTGTCAATTAATCATAAAAAAAGTCGATACAATAGTGCATGCACAGTTTTTCTCTTAACTTTTATTTTCCTTTTTACATAGTGCTATATTCAGTGAACCTCAATTATTACTTTCTCTTAGCTCCGTTTGGTAGCAATTTTTCATGTCGTTATTTTTAACTTCTTCACTTTAATGAGATCCATTTTTTTTTAACGGTCAAAAAATTAATTCTCATAAGTTTGACCCAAGAAAATTAATCATCACCCAAAAAAACATGTAGGAGTCGCTTGAACAGCGAACTAGAGGCATACTAGCGAAAATGCGGCAACTCTCTTCCTGATTCATAATTTTGATTTCTTCAAATCCACTTTAAACAAAAAAAAAAACAATTACGTTTTTCAAAACCCCTTTAAAAAAAAAAAAAAAAAAAAAAAAAACTCCAATACCCACTAGAATTTTGGTTAAACTACAATAAATCTCCACTCTTAACCAAATTTCAATACAATGAATTCCTAAACACATCTCTAAATAAACATCGCTCATCCTCTTCCACACAAGTCCTAAAGTATTAAATCAATGACAAACACCAAGTTCAAGCAATGCTCAAAATGCTCAAACAAGTGAGACCTATTTTTCTCTCTAACGATCAAAAAATTAATTCTCATAATCACTTTCAAATAGGTCTTAGAGTCTTGGTACAACAAAGTATAAAGTGAGTCGTGCTGAGCCAATAAAATCACATTTTCTCTTATTTGTATGTCTGCAATAGTTTGGTACCAAGAAGTTTTTCATGGTATAGCACGATCATCCTCACTATCCTCAAGGGCACGGGCAATCAATGCATGGCCTAGTGTACACTTCTAATTCGATCTACTTCGTACGGAGTGGAAGGTACAATAGCAAGTACATTTTAATAAGAGCAATAGCATGCTGCTAACCTAAAATTTTCGAGCCCTAGCTACAAATCCCGAGTTTAAATTTAAAAGCCTCGGCCCTTGATCTTGAATTTCATGGGGGCCGCAATATAACAATCAAGGGCCGAGGTGTTGCCAACACCTCGACCTGTGAACAGGGCCAATGGAACAACTAGGCCCTTGATCTTGAATTTCATGGGGCCTGCAGCATAACAATCAAGGGTCCAGATGTTCAACACCTCGACCTATCAATAGAGTCTGTCGTTGGTCGTATTTGAATGGCATAATCCAAAATTTTCTTGAACCGTTAATACTCTTCATTGTCTTTTCTTGGGCATAGTTTTACTTCAGGGAAACACCTCGACCTATCAATAGAGTCTGCCGTTGGCCGTGTTTGAATGGCAAAACCCAAAATTTTCTTGAACCGTTGATACTCTTCATTGTCTTTTCTTGGGCATAGTTTTACTTCAGGGCTATTTCCATAAGTAGATAATTAAAGTTCACTTGTCTTCTACTTTATTGGTATCTAATCACTTTCAGAAGTGAAATCCATTTTTCAGATTCTCTCTCTCTCTCTCCCTCTCTCCCCCGCACCTTCATAATTTGAGAAGGGGCAAGCCCTTTTATTATATGTATATAAGGTCATCCTTTTTATTATGAGTCGTTCACCTCCATAGTTTTCGTCTCTCTCTCTCTCTCTCTCTCTCTCTCTCCACACACACGCGGAGACATGCTAAACCAGAATTTGTTTGATGATCAAGATAGGTCATATCAGCTTGGATTTTTTCCTGTCAATACAAATTTGACATCTCTTCCATTTTGGTGCAATAAAACTTTTGCAGCGATTCCTTCTTCACTTCAAGAAGATGATGATGCACCACTCCTCTTTTCTGAGCCTGTAATTCCAAAGCAAAAAGAAGAATTCACATCTAGCTTTGCAGGATCCCCTATTTTCTCTTTGCAGAAATCTACTGCAAATCACTGGTAAATTAGGGGGAGGACTGTTATATATTTAAGTTGTGTCTTCAATACGGGTCAAATTTGAAAAATAAAATAAAATAAATAAATAAATAAAAGAGGCTTAAAAGTTGCACAATTTTCATAATGGATGTTGACAAGACTTGGATTCAGGTCTTATATGTGCGCTATGGTTTCATGTTAATTGCCCTCTAACAGGTTAAGTTGTCCTCCACACATACACGCACACAACACAAGAATTTGTTTTGAATGCAGATTTTCTGAGATGATTGCAGGATCAATGATTGCATGAGAAACGGAGGTAATGAAAATCATGGAGTTTTGCCAATAAACATGAAGAAGATTAAGTCAAGGAAAAAAGTAAGAGAGCCCAGGTTTTGTTTCAAAACTATGAGCGATGTGGATGTTTTGGATGATGGTTACAAGTGGAGAAAGTATGGCCAGAAAATCGTGAAAAACACCCAACATCCCAGGTTATATTCATCCTTTCATAGCGTTTCATTTTAATTAATAATTCATCTGAGTGAGTTGGGACAGTAATGCACAGTGCATTCCTAACTCCCGCTCACAATGGGCAGATTATGGTTTTTCTTGCCACTTGTTTGTATCCCGTCCACAATGGCAGGATATCAATTTCAATGCACCGTATAAGGAACCAGATTTTAGTTCCTAATAGGTATTTTATATTTGACATGTATTAATCTGCAAGTACGGAATTTCTTTTAATAGAATTGGTAGAAGCTATTTTTGACAATAGCCAATTACAGAAAGTCAACTGACTTTTTGTACAAAATTTATAGACATTTAATATAAGTTTATAGGCTTCCCATGTAGGAGATGGCATAAGCGTGGTTTGGCTAATGTATTGGATTAGATTTTGATGGTAACGGTTCATGCAACATAATCGAAAGGAAAGAAAGCACATTCGATAAAGTATTTGTATTAGTGACACCATTGTTATCCCGACTATCCTAAGGATTTAAGAAATTTTTACTTCTATAGATGCGAATTGGTAAGCCTACCCCAGGGAGGGAGCATACCACTGGAAGAGCCAAGAGAGAGTTTGGGTCATTTGACGGAAATGGAAGACAGTAAGCAGGGGCGGAGTTAGGCTGCATTAATATATATATGAAAGATAATAAATTAATTACACTACCTATTGTAGTGTGCCACGTAAGTGCTTAGGAAATCAAATTCGTGTATATATATAATGCTAGGCTAATATGTAAAAGAAAAAAAAAATTCTACATAATTTTTTTTTTTTTTTTTCAAATATTAGATTGACTTTTTGGGCCATAAAAATCAAATTGGGCTGGCCCGGGCAGTCATCGAAATCTGCCTCTACCATTAGAGGCATTTCTTTGTACAAAAGTCAGGTTCTTGGAAAAGATTATATTGATAAAAGTGAATGGTAGGTTAAGAATTCAAATTTGGGACACAATCATAGTCACTATCCATCACCATGCACAATATGTGTTACAGAATTTGAGAACTTTAAAATGAAATAAATGACACTCACTTTTGGGATTTTCTGTTTCAAATGAAGATCCCATTCATGATTTGGCTTTAGATTAAAAAGTAACTCTAAACTTTTATTGTTAAATGATTACCAATGATTTTTTTCTCATCTTTTCTGTTCATTTAGCAAAGTGCATAAACTTTATAGCACTCAAAAACTCAAGAAAGAGCCCACTCTGTCTAAAAGCTACTATATATGATTATGAATCCAGTCACTGCCAGTTTGTAATTGCTTCGTTTTTCATTTAATTTCTCCATTTTGGCCTTTTTTATTACATGTTCTATATGCAGTATTAGGTTGTATAATGAAAATGATATTAAGACTTAGGATTTCATCTTTACAAATATCAACACTGTTGAGAGGAATAGTTCGAGTCCTTACATGTTAGTTAATATTTTTATAATTGGCCGATGTAGAACTAAACATCATAGGGAAAGAAAGGAATTAACTATTTGCAATTTTATTGAAAATAAGACTTAGCTTATTATGATACTCGTAGGGCTGTATCAGTAGTATCTGAAAAGCTCTATCAAAAACTGCAAAGTTCTTGAGACAATACAAAGTGCATTCAATGAGTTATTTTGTAGTATCCTCCAAAATGATGTTCTTCTAATTCAACCCTACATGGCTTTTGACAGTCGAGATAACAACGTAGAGTTTGTGCTAGTAGTACAATCCAAAATGAGTGATCTCCTATATATATATATATTGACTCTATGTGGCTTTTCATAGTCGAGATAATGACTTATGATTTATGTGGTAGTAAGTGTTTTCTAAAACGAGTGCTGTCTTATTTTAACACTACAAAGTTTTAGGTAGGAATCCACGTAGTGATAAGTTACTTGACCCACAAATTTTGACAATTTGAAACAGAAGGTAACAATGATGAGAACTATCATTAATAGATGTTGAGTGGTTCTCATTGTTAATAGATGTGTTGAGTGGAATTATAGTGATAAATACGGTTGGAGCATACGAACAATTTGGTAAACTCTGAAGCTATTTCCTACTTGTATTGATGAATTTAATTGAGATTAAAATTTATTTCTTGGTATTTACATAAGGTTTCTCTTTAACATCAACTCTTCTCATCTATTTACAAAAATTCAGCAATTATCAATTCTTCATTCAAAAGATATATCTGAACTTGAGGGAATACCGATCATTATTGTACGTGTAAAAGATGTGCATACACTTTTATGCTACTAATATGTTTATAGTATGTAATTTTGTAGGAGTTATTATCGTTGTACGCAGGATAATTGTCGCGTAAAGAAACGTGTAGAACGATTACAAGAAGATTCAAGAATGGTGATTACTACATATGAAGGCAGGCACATACACTCTCCATCACATGATGAAGAGGATTCTCGAGCTTCATCTCAATTCAAAAATTTCTTTTGGTAGCACTGTTTGCAGTCTTTGTTGTACCCCACGACTGTCAATTGTTTAAGTATGACTAGTGCTTTCTATAATGGAAAATATGGTAATAAAAATTATATTTAAGAGCAAGTTGGGATTAGTTGCAATAATATATCAAATGAACAAAAGAAATATTAGGATATTCTTTTGAAATACTAAATTAACTTTCTATTATGTAACACGATCATTATTTCATAATAAATTTTGAGGGTACACAAATTTTAATGAACTGACGTTTACTATATTTTTTAGCTAAATTTTACTTGAATCGTAAAAGAGCAAATGTGTATGTATGCATTTGTTAATATTCAAATTATGTATAAATAATATATATTTACTTAAAGAAGTTAATTAGTTTTTTTTTTTTTAAGTTGAAATTTTCACTATACACATATTCAAAGTATTAAGGTATTAACCTATTATTAAAGGGAACATAATAAATTGCAATTAAGGCCCCGTTTGGTAGGAATTTTTTACCCCAAAAAATTGATTTTTTGACCGTTATTTTACTCACATGTGGATCTCACTTTTTTTCTAACGGTCAAAAAATCAATTCTCAAAATCTCTACCAAACGGGCCCTAATTATCGAAAATTTTCTACACGAGGGCATTTTGATGTATAACCTTATTTCAAATGAGACATGATTCAAAAATAACTCAGGTGAAAATGAAATTATAAATTAAAAATAGATAAAGTTAAGTGGAAATTACACAAAATCCTATGTTTTAATATGTGAGTTCTAAAGTTAGATGGCAAATTTAACATTTCACAAATAAGATATTTTATTTTTAATTATTAAATATATAATTTTCATTCCCAACCCTAACAAGTTCCCCCTCCTTTCTCTCTCTGCATCTCTCTCTCACCTTGTCTCTCTTCACTAGAGCTGCCAACTAAGCACAGTCGGCCTCTACAGCAGGGCACTGCCCCCAACACTTTTCCTTAGTCTGCCTTGGGTTTGAGCACATCGAATGGTGGTGGCGCAGGGTTGTGGGATCTTGATGTTGCCATTCACAGCGCCGTAGGTTTGGTGGTTCTGCAGGCGGTAATAGTGTGTTGTAGTGGTGGTGGCGGTGGGTTTGTGGATTCTTTGGTAAGGGTGGTGGTAGGGTGTGGTGTAAATGGAGATAGAGGAGATGGTGGTGTGCCCTGGGTTGTGTGGTGTGGGATGGTGGTGTGCTGTGGACTTGGCGGTGGTCGTGGGTACTATGAGATGGGGTTGGATGCTTGTGACCAATTATTTTGTTGATTATGGCCAATAATTGGTTAATTTGTATATATGACCTAAAAGTTTTGATCGTGACTCACAATTGATTAATTTGTGACCAAAAATTAATTGTGACCAATTAATCTAATAATCTGTAATGAATAAATGAGTTGTGATCAATAAAAGTTTTGATTTTGTGACCGTTGAATAATCTACGACTAATAATTTGATAATTTATGACTGTATAATAAATTGTGATTTATAATATTTGCGATTTGTGATTGATGAAAAAATTGTGACCTATAAAATTTTTAAATTGTGATCGTAAAATAATTTGTGATTAATTAAATTATTAATTTGTGATCAAATTGTATAGATATGTAACCTAAATATATTTAACGAATAATTTAATTAATTAATTAAATTATAAATAAATTTTAATAAAAATCTGATTTTTGAAGTTTGAAACTTGTGTTCTTACTTTTAAAATGAGTAATAGTTATCCTTTTAGTTATGAAATTTTTCCCAAAGTTAATGTGATTTTTTAAACATAAGAAATGTTCATAACGTTGTCTCTTGAAGGTATATTAACAAAAATGAACCGTCATAGTGTAATATATTGTTTGTTAACGCTTTAAGAAATCACATGATGTAAATTGCAAATTCGGATGCAACTGAAGTTCAGTAACATGCTATAAATCAATATTATAAGAATAAGATCAGACTGACTAATTCGATTACAAAATTAAAGATCAATCTGATTACGTGTAAAAATTGTTTAAACTTAAAAGAGATTTTAAACAGGTTTATCGATTTTATTATTTATTTTTAAAATAAAAGACTTTTTTATTTGTTAAATTTTTGAATTACTGGCCTCAACTATTGATCATTTACTAATTTTTTTTTTCCTAATCAATCTTAGGAAATTTTAAAATATTGGTACAAACAAGATTTTTAATGTCGTCAATATTTCAAAGACTATGTAAAGATATACTACGTGACAGACTAACATAATTTACAAAAATATTAAATGTTAGCAAGTAGCGAAGATGTATGCCAACAAAGAGATGAAAGTTTATGTAATGAATCCAGGGTGGTCGTCTTGTAGTTGTAAATTTCTTTATTTTATATGAAAACTTATATTTTTTATTAACTTATTAGACTGAAAATTCGACCATACGGCTAAGTTGCGCTGGAGGTTGATGGATTTTCACTCTAGTTGTAGTCGGGTCATTATTGTTGATCTCGCAAATTAGACCCTCCACATGGCCAACCGATAGCTCCTCCACGTATTCTTCCCTGCGCACAGTCAACGCACGATCAGATGCACACGGCTAGAACCAACAGGGGTGGTGGCGACCACATACACTCCGACGTTCAAATTAGCCTCAGGAGGTCGGAACAATACCAAGATTGTGCTCAATAAAGGGGAGGAGAATATATATATATATAGCTTGTTGTGGAAAGCTATGCTATAAGAGTTTCATTACATTTACCTCTTGCCAAACCTTGGGTATTTATACGTGATGAGATCTGTTGGATGTGGGACACGCGTATGCATCTGATGGTGTGAGGCATCTGCTCATAAGCGTCAATCAGTCGCGTCTATAGAGTGAGCGGGTAATTACTTCTCCGAATTGAGTTGACATAAAGTTGATACGTCACATCAACTAGGCTCATGAAGACATCAAATCAATTGAATCTTGGGGGCAGAAAGGATCTTGACATAGATCTTTTTCTGAAATTGGCTGCGGATCCTCTAGCAGAAAACTTCGGCTTGAACAGCGATTCAGCTTCAGAGGCGAAGGCACCTCGGTCAGTTCGGTAGATTGTCCGTGTCTTGCGTAGTGTTAGCAGATGGTGGCTCCACTTCGGATGGATGTCGCACACCTCGTATGACGTGGTTGTAGAATTTTCGAAGTGTTTCAAATGGGGGCGTAACAATGGTCCCCCCCAAGTCCAGGTACGAATATTTATATCATAGGTAGATTTGTTTTCCTAATCGGGTATGTCCGCCTTGGGATAGGGACCGCGATTTGTGAGGGTTTATGGGTCGTTTTTCTGTGTTCACCGAAGTGTTGACCACAGGCAGACGCGCTAAAGATTTATTACTGAGTAAGGGAAAAACTTATCCGAGACCGATGTGCTGCCAACTGGACGATGCGTTGGGAGATGACTAAAGCTTTACAAAGCTTAGGAGGGAACGCAGCTTCCGAGACAATAACCCACATGGGGGCTTCGCATCAGATGCATCTAAGCTTTGTAAAGTTGTGTGAAGAGCTCATCTGCCACCGGTGCATTGACCCACAAGGGACGACGCGTTGGGAGATGGCTAAAACTTTGTAAAGCTCAGGAGGGAATGTAGCTTCTAAGGCGATGACCCACAGGAGGGCTCCGCATCAGATGCATCTAAGCTTTGTAAAGTTGTGTGAAGAACTCATCTACCACCGGTGCGTTGATCCACAAGGGCGCGTTGGGAGATGGCTAAAGCTTTGTAAAGTTTAGGAGGGAACACGGATTCCGAGGCAATGACCCACAGAGGGGGCTCCGCATCAAATGCGTTTAAGTTTTGTAAAGTTGTGTGAAGAGCTCATCTGCCATCGATGCGTTGACCAGCAAGGGACGACGCGTTGGGAGGTGACTAAAGCTTTGTAAAGCTCAAGAGAAAACGCAGCTTCCGAGGCGATGACCCACAGGGGGGCTCCGCATCAGATGTGTCTAAGTTTTGTAAAGCTGTGTGAAGAGCTCGATCTGAGGCGGGCATCTCTGACTTTAAAAGATTAGACAGCTGTCGCGTATTTTCAAGGCGACAGTTAGGTGCGATACCCATTCCCAGAAAAGGCTGCTGCAGCCACTTATTGCAGACGGCTGATGGTGATCGAGGCAACGCGTTTCGCAAAAGCGTGAAGGTCATAGCTAGATCTTAGGCGTATATCAAATCTGGCGTTTCATTTCAATGGCCTAGATTGATGATGCGACGGACGGCCTAGATTAATTGCATTTGAATTCAACGGTGTGGATTAGTTGGGACGCTCTATAAAAGGCGAATTTGAGGGATTTTGGAGCTTTTCACTTTTACGAAATCAAAAACCCCATTCTCTCTCGAATTCTTTGCATTTCCGGGGTTCTTGGATCATTTTCCGACGAGCAATCCTGGTTTTCGACGACTAACACCGTTTGTTGACCATTTTCGACAGCGGGACAATCCATTTTTCAAAAGTTTCAATAAGTATTTGAAACTTTTAATTTCTGAAAATGGCCTATGAGGATAGTGGTAGTTCGGGTAGGGGGTTGGAACTAGTGAGGGTGGATGAGCCCATTTTGACGACCTCCTCTGAGATAGCCGAGGCGATTACTGGGGAGAGAATATATGGAAGAGGCCAGATAGCCCGACTGACACATCTGTGCATTGGGGGCGTCGGATTACCCCTCTAAGCTAAAGGGTGCCGAACTGGAAAGACTTAGGGCTGAGTATAGGATCCCAGATAGTGTAGCTCTGATCCTACCAGAACCTGATGAGCAGCCCTGTTACCTTAGGTCGGGGTGCGTAGCGATAAACGAGGCGATCCTTAAGGCAGGCCTTAGGCTTCCAATCCATTCTTTCTTCCGTATGGTACTTAGGTCATACAACTTAGCTCCTACCTAACTGAACCCGAACTCCTGGAGCCAAATGGTGGGCTCCTGGATGTTGTGGAAGGAGGCGTCGCTTGGTGTGGAGATGTCTTTCTTTGTATTCCAGACCCTCTACATCTATAAAGTAGCGGCTGGGGGGATAAGACCAGGGGTTGGTACTTCTTGACCTCCTGGGGTTTTCACACTCCATTCGTGCTCGATCTGCCGAGCTCCATCAAGGAATGGAAGAGCTCGTGGTGATAGGCTGTT